TCTGTTTGATTGGGTCCAGTGAGCTCACAGCGCCTCCAGCAGGTGGATTCCAGTACTGTTTGTTTTTAAAGCTGTGAACAGTTTTCTTCTCTGCTGTCAGTGTCTGTTTCGAGCCAAGTTATTAAAGAGGTCTTTTATTTGAGCCAGTTTGAAATGGTTTAAATTTGAAATATCTGTTTGACTCCTCACTAACGGGACCTAAAACACAACTCAGCTGAAAAGAAAACACAAAAGAACACCACCTGGTGGCCAGAGGTGGAAACACATATGAAAGCAAAGCACACATACATAGCTCCTTCAGGTTTGGTGAAGTGTGCAGCTCTCTGAACACATGAGGCAGACTTCATGTCACAGCCACTGCTGCAGCAACAAAGTGAGCCACAAAAGACAAGAGCTGTTTCTCAACATCAAGTACTCCAAGTTTGTTCTTCCTTAGTTGCTAATTCAAACTTGGCAAATTAACTTAAGCGCCCAGACTTCTAAGCATGGGAGGGCACACACACACTTTCACTGTGATTAATATATAAAATATAAATTAGTAGAGGCCACATAAATGCCTCTTTCTGCATCGGGTCAGAAGGGGAAAAAAAGACACAAACTTGTTGGCTGGATTAGTATAAAATGAAATGTCTGGCAATGGAAAGAAGCAAGGATAATGATGTATACACCCTTGTGCAATGAAGAGGATGCATGTTGTATCACAAGACACGATAAGCCAGCTGATTGCTTTGTTTCTCTGAGGCATTTTGTGAGGGTATAGCTGCTGTGGCATTTGTCTGGCTTGAAATAACAACTGTAATCTCCACATTTCGACTTTTCTCAAAATATTATTTCAAGTTTAATCTCAAAATGGACTCATTTTTTTCCTTTCATTAATGTGACCTTAGTACTCTACCGTACCACTAATTACCCAACTTCTAAAAAAAATACTTTAACAACATATTTAGTTATAAAAAGACCATCAACAGAAAATAATTAAATAACATCAATAGGAAAAGTCCTTTTCTCCCCCCCCCCTGCACTTTCCTCTTCGCCCTCACTTTCACTATCCAATAGAAGACAAGGTGCCTTGTTTGTTTGAGGATTTCTCCAAAACATGTGATGATCTTAGTTAGTGATGGTCTGGTTTAATAAATGGTTTTGTTTGAAGTTGTGCAGAACTTGTCTGTGTCACCATTTCACAGAATATGATCAAGACGGGACAATAGCCAAATTGTCCAGCAGGTGCCACTGTGGAGATGTTTTCAGATTGTTTGGAATCATCAATACAAGCACAAAGACTTCAAATGTTTCACGGAGTCTCGCTTTGCTCATCACTACTATGGTGACAACTTCACAGGAGGTCCGTATCTCAGCACTGTCATAGTTAAAGGTGACCTTCATAAACCGAGAAACTGACATTCATGTTTGC